GGACTTAAGGCTTGCTTGATTAGCATAAGTCAACTTTGTGATGATAATCTTCATGTTAAATTTGATAGTAAGTCTTGTGAAGTTTTTGATGAGTCTAATTCATGTATTTTGGCAGGTGTACGAACTACCCAAAATTGCTATCGGGTAAAAAATGCTGAGGATGACGTTCGGGATGTGTTGGACCTTCCGCTACATAGTGCTGCTCCAGGTGTCGTCCCAGATGTCATGACACCTGACACAACACCAGACACAATATTTGAGGCGACACTTATCTCCGACGAGCAAAATACCATTTTTAAGGTTGAGACAAGATCTGATGTGAATGTTTCAGATGATATTTATTCACTTGCGTTTGGCCAAAACAGATCTGTACAAGTTTTCTTTTCGATAGAATTTAGAGATTTTAGGCATGTTATTGATTTTTTAAGAGATTTTTCATCTGTTTTATTCATGATTCAACAGAGATTCTAAATGTGCAGCACTGCATTAAGGATGCATGCTGCACCAAAGGCAGAGAGACAGATGCGGAAAACTTTTCCTTTTTTTCCTTTTCCTCTCTTTTTGTTTTTGGTGCTCTCAAATGCAACTACGTAAGATTTTCTTAAAAAAAAGTTAAAATGTTGTTTAGTAAAAAAGTATATAGTAGAAGACCATATCATATTTTCTCACGAGTTTATTGTTCACTATATGGTCTTGGTTAGCTATGATATTAAATTGCTATTTTGCTATATTTTTTAAGTAGAGTAAATTACATTTTCGTATCATATTCGTTCACTCTTAGGGCATGCTTGGATACAAATATATCCGCTCAAAATAGTAGATAAAAAGGGTCAGTATGTATCAGTCACATATCTTCATGCATGTATTTATACACTATACTGCACATTTTTAACAATGTGCTTGTTGTTGTTGTTGTTTTTTTTTTTTTTTTTNATTTCTCATTTTTTGAGTAAATAATTGAGCTATGATTTCTGGCCAAATTGCTCCATTACATAAGATCATCAAATCGAAAGAGAAATATAGTTTCTGTGTGATACTCGATGAAAGCAATTCAATTGGAGTTCTTTGGAGGTCTGGTAGAGGCCTAACGGAACATATGAAAGTTTCGGTAAGTTCCTTTTAAGTTTAATCCTTATCTGCGTACTGTTTCTATATATTTGCCTTTCCTTAATACTTTTGTTTGTTGCAGATCGACAAGGTGGATATTGTGACTGTTTCATTGGGACACGCAGTAGCCACTGAAGGAGGATTTTGCACTGGGAGTAATCGAGTGATCGATCACAGAGTATGCTTGATTCCATGAAATCTATTTGGAACGATATGAATGTAAATGATATAAATTTACTCCGACTTCAGAAATATCAAATTTATACCTCTTTTGTTCAAAGGGAGAGAGATATATTTATCTAATGCGAGAATTTGTGAGGTATACTTGCATCCCAATGAGTGTTTATGGACTCAATTTTTTCCAATGAATAAAAATCTCTTCGGTTCGTGTTTTGTTTATTATTTATTATGTGAATGTGTTCTGTTTCTTGTTTCTTGGTGTGTGCTCTGTAGATGAAAGGACAAAGCATGAGCCATGATTTGTGGACTTCGAATGAACGGTCGAGTTTATTTTATGAATGCATCAATGCCAACGATAAATTTATACATGATCATTTTTATTTTTTTTTTCAATTTGAACGGTCGAGTTTATCTTTAACAAATTATTAATAGCTTTATAGAATCTACAATCAATGATACAAGTGACCTGACATTCGTTCTTTTTTTTTTCTTTTGTTAATCTAAAAGGAAAAGCCATGACCGAAAGTTTTATGAGAACAAGGTTCAGACACAAGTAGATCTTCTCAATTGGTAACATGAAATGAAACCGGCCGCTCAAATCAACCAAGAAAAAATAGTTGTTAATGTTCGTTTATTAAGTTTTATCACCAAACTTCACGGCATGTTCATCATTCCTTTATTGAATTTGTTGTTTGCCTTTGAATTTAACATATTGTTCAAGCAACAAATAATGTGTTGCTTCGGAAATGGAGATTTCTGTACAGATTTGCCTTTTCATTTTCTTCCCTGATGTAAATATGGTCCTTTTCATTTCTGTACAGAATTACGATTTCATTTCTGTACAAATTTACTTCAAGACATGTTCTTTAGGGCTTAATTGTGAACCTACTTTGGCAGTAAATATTGTCTTATAGCCTTTAGTTGATCTAAAGCCAATTGTCATTTTTTTTATATGGTCATGTTATACATATAGGAAGTCATTCGTAAAAATTTAAAAAAAAAACATGATAATCTCCCCATCTCCCTCACCTCACTCCGTCTCATTATTTTTATACTTTGTATCTTTGATTTTATGCTATATTTGTTCCAAATATGTGAGGTGCCTTCTGCTCAACAAATTGATAGGTTATACCCATCAATATTTACAATATTGTAAATAAATATTTTGGTTTAACTTCACGGAGGGAAGTTTAAGTATTCAAATAAAATTGTGGATTTGTCGTGAATTTAATAATAATAATAATAATAACATTGAAGATTTCATAATAAAGAATGTGATTTTGTCGTGAATTTAATAATAATAATAATAAAAATGTACACACATGACCTAAAAAAACAATCACTGAAAACATTGAAGATTTCATAGTAAAATATAATAAGTAGAGTGGAATACAATTGGACTAAACTACAACAATTGCCTGTAAAGATGTGTAATGAGCCCTTTATGGTGAAAGCTTATGTAGAGAGCTGCAGCAACTGAACTACAACAATTGCCTATAAAGTTGTGTAATGAACCTTTATGGTGAAAGCTTATTTTGTTAACAATCAATGTAAAAATTGAACATGAACTTGACTGATCATTACAACTAATGACAAATTTTCACTATATTGTTAGACTAAATTTGAGTCCGCCGTGCGTGCACGGCGCGACCACCACTAACTATTGGTTAATTTACGGTGGCAGTTTGGTAAATATTGGTGATTTTATGGTCAATTCATAAAGGCTAAGGGCATTTATGTATCTTATCTTCATAGGAGTGGGCCCACCACTAACTATTCCTCTACCCCTATTCCCTATCCCAACCCATCACACACCAATTCACCATTAACACACAGTTCAGTAGACAACTCTTCTTCATCCGACCAACCTGCCGCTGCACGCCACCGCCGGTAGCCTCCGTTTAGTCGACTCCGTCGTTCTACCTTTCCTTCTCTGTCTCATTTTCCGCCACTGTCACAAAATTCCGAACCGCCGATCAAAAGCTTCTCCGCCATTTTCATCGATCCGTCGGTTGACGTCGCCGGCGTCTGACTGTGTCATGCCATCATCGTCGCTATCATGTTCAATTCGATCTCCTTCGCTCTGCGTATTGAATCATCATGCCATCATGGTGTAAAACTTGTCGAGCCGGGCGACAAAGGGGCTTTCACCGACTGAAACGAGCTCAACAACGACATGATCTTTCACTATGATGGAGACTGACTAGGAACAACACTTGGCGAGACGACCACCGGTAGAGGCTCCACAGAGGCATTAGCGGTCGACAGCGGTAGAGAGACGGCAGAGGTGCGGTCTCACCTCGGTGAGTATCCCGTCTGGAGCCCCTAGCCGAAAGCTGCGGGCCGCGAGTAGAGTCCTGATGAGCGGGAGTGGGGGTTAGCATCGCCGGTTGAGATTCATCATCTCCCTGAAGTGACGGTCGCCGCGAAACACGACCAGGCGGCGGCCAACGATGAGTGGTTGTGACCGACGACGAATGAACGCGGAGAGACTCCTCGGCCAGTGGCAAAGTGAAATCCGGCGAAGAAATACCAAACGGAGCTGATTTCCTGATCGATCGACGGGAGGCATCAGAATCCGTGGTGAACAAGGTTTTGCCAGAGAGAACTGAGAGAATTTTGATTGCGAGAGAAGCCCTATGAGTTGAAAAGACGATACAGTTCATCACCATAGTTTATTTCCTTGTTGCTCTTTCTCTCTACCAAATTATATTGAGTGGATAAAATGGAAACCCTCTCTACCACCAATGCCGTCATACCTCTGATCGATCCCAAGCTTTATCCGTCGAACCGCACGACACCGTCCTTTCCAGATCTGCACATGGCTAATCCTCCTTTGCATTCAACCACCCGATCGCTGAAGCGAACTTGTGTCCAAGGGCTTTCTTGTGAACCACCCGAGGAGAAATCTCTCGAATCCCAGGAGCCCCCGGTGCCTCTTCCTCGATTAAGCTTTAGGGATATGCTGAATAAAAATCAATCCCACGATGAGATGCTCTCTTATGGTGAAGAAGAAGCGTCCCTGGACGAGGATGTAACGGTGGACTATAAGTCCGTTGAACCGGATATTAAGATGAAGGAATCCTTCTACAACTCTCTGATCCAGTCTTGGAAGAACGTGGTTATTGTTAAGGTTATGGGCACAACCTTTAGCCCACACCTCCTCTACAGCAAGTTGGTCGGACTGTGGCCATTTATGTCGGGTTGTAGCATGGTTGATTTAGAGAATGGGTTTTTTCAGGTCCATTTTAAAGCGCATGATGAGGCGATACACGAACTAGTTGGTGGTCCTTAGGTTATCTCCAAGCAATTGAAGAAATTCTATGTGCACGTACAACCTTGGAGTGACGACTTTGATGAAACAAGTAATCAAATTAAGTCTTTAGTTACATGGATACGCTTGCCGGGAATGTCGGTTCACTTATATCATAAGAAAGTATTTCGCGTTATTGGCAACATAGTGGGGAAGGTGATAAAATTTGATCAACAAACCGCTTCACAGGCTAGAGGGAAATATGTCAGGCTGGCGGTGGTTCTCGACCTTACTAAACCAGTGTGCGCCCGTTTCACCATTCGAGGAAAACTACAGCACGTGGAGTATGAGAATCTACCGGACATATGCTTTGAGTGCGGGAAGTACGGGCATGGATCGACAGCATGTCCTGGACGTCATATGACGACCGGTACAAAGGTCGGGCCTGTTGAACATCCCAATGGTACTCATACAACTACGGGTGGCCCATCCATTGGGACTTCGGCTGACAGGGAGAAAAAGGTGGATGCTTCTGGAGACAGACTATATGGACCCTGGCTACTGGCAAAAAACAAAGGACCCTCCAGGACTTGGGGCAATACAGAGGACTCTCAAAGAGTGAAAATGGCGGTTTCACGCCGGGGATCTCAATTCAGTTTGTTGACAGAGGACAATGAAGATAGTGAAGCTGCGCAGGCCAAGTCCCCTCCTCGTGTTCCATTTACCTTCTCTACGGGGGGCGAGAGTCGTGACAAAATTCCATTGGAAGATACTGTAGCTGAGCACAATGGTACAAATGCAAGGCGAGTTGTAGAGACGAGAAAAACAGATAAGGGGAAAGTAATTAAAGAAGCAGGTGCTCGTCACATTTTGACCTCTAAGAACCAAAATGCTACGGGGCTGTACGTGAGCCCAGGTCGGCTACAGAGCTCTCTTTTTGGGGACACCAAGATACTGGAAAAGTGACTAACACTGTGGAGAATGGGTCTGTGCTAAGCTCTATGAGTAATGTTGGCCCATCTAATGTTCGGCTTGTTTCTGCTGGGAGTGGTCTGGACCCTACGAAACATCAGGTTGCCCAGTTTGTCGACAGCCAGCGTCACAAGAATAATCGAAACACATCCGGCTCAATTGTGATTGACCTGATGAAGACTGCTGAAATGGTTGTTGACCCGGATCCACCACATAGCTCAGTCCCTCGACTGGACAACGTGGGTGGCGACGGGGCTTTGGATGAAGATAGTGGATCCATGGATGAGATCATGGGCGAAGATTCCAGCTCAGGAGTGTAGTAGCCTCTGACGATTGTCACCCTCTCTATATATTAGTTTCTTAATGAAGATAATCACCTGGAATGTTCAAGGAGTGGGATCGGCTGCTTTCATACACGCGTTCTCTAACCTTATTGTTGTTTGAAAATCGGATTTGGTTGCGCTTCTCGAACCTAGAATCAGTGGTGGCGATGCCGATTTATTCGTGAAACGAAGCGGGTTTGATCGTTCGTTTCGAGTGGAGTCGATAGGCTTCTCAGATGGTATATGGCTTTTAAGGCGAGAGAGGGTGGACATTACTATCCTCAGTTGTCAACGACAATTTATCCACACTTTGATTCGCATAGGGAATATGAGTTTTTCTACGACCTTTGTGTATGCTAGCCCGAACACTCAGGTAAGGCGGAATCTTTGGGGGGAGCTACACCATATTGCGTCTTCGGTTTCTGGCCCGTGGCTGCTCAGTGGTGACTGGAATTGCTTGTTACGGCTGTCGGAGAAGAAAGGTGGTTCTACTCAATTCTATAATGTGAGTGAGGAATTCAGTAACTTGCTTTTTGATTATGGACTCCAAGAACTTCGTACTGATGGCTACAGCTTCACGTGGTTTCGAGGGGCAGTAGCAAAAAAACTTAATCGCGCCATTGCGAATGAGGCCTAGATGGATACCTTTGAGAGTGGTCTTGTTTTCCATCTTCCCAGATTAAAATCCGATCACATCCCACTTATGATTTCTTGTGATACATGTGTCCCTCAGCTTAGAGATCCGAAACCGTTCAGTTTCTTGGCACCCTGGCTAATGCATGAGGATTTTTGACAGGCTTCTTAAGGAGGCATGGTCGGGGGGCCGATGACTTCGTGATGGCGGTTCAACGGTTTTCCTCAATGGCGAAAGAGTGGAATTATCATATATTCGGGAACATTTTTCAGAGGAAGAAGAGACTACTTACTCGGATCTCAGGCGTCCAAAGGACGCTGCAGAATCGGGTTACTGGACGGTTGCTATCCCTTGAACGTCAACTATGTGCGGCTCTTGAAGAAGTGTCGATGCAAGAAGAAGTCTTTTTTATTCAAAAAACCCAACAAGACTGGTCTTTGTTTGGTGATCGGAACACGAGCTTCTACCACCAGAAGGTCAAAGTTCAACGTCGTAATAATAAAATTGTGGGTCTTTTTGACGATGATGGGAATTGGTTCCAGGATCAACACATTCTCCGGCGTCTCGCAGTTGATTGTTTCCGAGATATATATTCGGCGGATCTTTTGGACCGCTCAAGATTATCACATCCCTAGCTATTTTCCGTCTATTGAGTCGGGACAGGCCATTTCTTTGGCGAGAGAAGTCTCGGATCTTGAAATAACAACAGCTCTCCAATCAATGCATCCTTTGAAGTCGTCGGGCAGGGATGGACTTCATGCGATGTTTTTCAACAAAAGTGGAGCAGTGTGGGTGACTCGGTCTACCGGCTTATTCGTGGGATTTTAAATGATGGCATTATGCCACCAGAAGTTAATCAAATGGTGCTTGTGTTGATTCCTAAGGTGGACTGTCCTCAGACGATAAAGCAATTCAGACCAATCAACCTTCTTAATGTGGTGTATAAATTGACGACAAAGGTACTTGCGAACAAGCTCAAATCTTTGTTGCCCCGGTTCGTGGGACCTCTCAAGTGAGCTTTGTGTTTGGACGCCACATCTCAGACAATATTGTAATCGCCCAAGAGCTAGTCCATTCTATGCGCACTAAAAGTGCCCGGAGGGGTTTTTTCTTGGTGAAGGTAGATCTGGAGAAGGCCTATGACTACATCCGTTGGGATTTTGTTGAGGGCATCCTTCGCCTAGCGGGTATTCCGGAAGTCTTTATCCAAGGAGTGATGACTTGTATTACTTCGGCATCCATGCATCTTCAATTTAATGGGACTAGCTCTGAGAGTTTTATTCCTACCAGTGGCATTCGGCAAGGCGATCCTATCTCGCCGTACCTTTTTTTCTTGGTGATGGAGTGACTGGCAGATCTTATTCAGCACAAAGTGGACCGGGGTGTATGGCGACCAATTACAATAGGACGTGGCGCAGTGACCGTTCCATACTTTATGTTTGCCGATGATCTATTGTTGTTTATGGAAGCTTCACTGGATCAAGTGGATGTGCTCAATGAGGTGCTGGAAATGTTTTGTAACGTCTCGGGTTTGAAGGTTAGTACGTCTAAAACTAGCAACTTCTTCTCGAAAAACTTGGATGAACCCCTTAAATAACACTTTGCTCAACGCACTGGGTTTCGGAGGGTTGAAAATCTAGGTACTTATCTCGGCATGCCGGTAATTCATGGGCGGGTCACCAAGCACACCTACGAGGGCATATTAGAGAAGGCGGAGGGTCGTCTTGCTGGTTGGAAAGCTTCCTCACTATCACTTACGGGTAGAGTTACCTTAACCCAGTCGGTGGTGAGTAGTTTACCTTACTACTCTATGCAAACAGCGTGGATCCCGTCGGCGATTTTTGAAGGGTGGAGAGGTGTTGCCGTAGGTTTGTCTGGGGTGGCTCCAATATCGAGCGAAAGGTACATCTTGTTGACTGGAGCTCTTTGTGTCAGCCGAAAGATGAGGGTGGTCTGGGATTAAAAAATCAGAGACGAATGAACATGGCGTTACTTATGAAGCTTGCTTGGGGCTTTTTGAGTAAGCCCGAGTCACTGTGGGTGAGAGTGTTATACGCCAAGTATAATCTTAAACCCAACATGATGTCGGCCGAGTTTCAGTTCCCGTCTGGCTCGGTGGTGATCCGCGCCCTCGCTAGAGTTTGGCTAAAAGTGATCAAGGGAGCCAGGTGGTCCTTAGGTGATGGAACGCGAACAAGATTTTGGTGGGACAATTGGTTGAACTGCTCGGAGGCCTTAATAACACGTGTTTCGCGGTGTTATACCGGAGGATAAATTAACATGGACCGTATCCCAATTTGTTACTCACATGGGCCAGTGGGATTGGCAGAGGTTCTCAGCCCTTTTGCAGCCATCGTATCTCCTCCGTATTTCCACTATTTTGCCTCCTCGAGCGAGGGCTGGCCGGTACCATCTGTTCTGGGACCTGTCCTCGAACGACCAGTTTACAACCCCGTCTGCCTATGCCCTATTGGCACCACGTAATCGGGTAGCGACCCAGAGCCTTTGGAAGGTGATTTGGCGATGGGTTGGTCCCCAGCGTATCCGTCAGTTCCTATGGCTGGTTGCGGCTAGCCCTTTGTGTGAGTGGTGTAGAGCTCATTCGGAGACAACACTTCATGTGCTGCGTGATTATGATATTCCGACTCGCTTTTGGCAAATGTTAGTTCCACGCGCTCGATGGGATGTCTTCTTCGGCTCAGACCTAGGTACGTGGTTAGACTCGAATTTGGCCACTAAGTTGATTGGAGTGGAAGAGAATTGGGACTGTGTGTTTGGAGTAAGCTTGTGGCAAATTTGGCAGAGGCGGAATAATTATGTCTTTAATGGTGTTTCCCCAATGGTGGATCGCAAACTGAATGAAGTTTGTAACTACGTTGACAATCTCCAAAAAGTGAACTCCAGCCTAATGCTCCTCGGGAATAGTGGTGCCCACCGTCTAAATTGTACGGTCTTTTGGGAACCGCCAATGACGGGATGTATAAAGTGCAATTCCGACGGCACCTTTAATAACTCTACAGGAATGGCGAGTGCGGGTGGACTGCTGCGTGATCAGAATGGACGCTTTTTGGGAGGTTTTGTTATGAACATAGGATTTAGCTCCATTATGGGGGCGGAATTATGGGGGCTGCTGCAAGGGTTGCTACTAGCTTGGGATTTGGGATACCGTCAGGTTATAGCTGATGTAGACAGTAAGGTGGTGGTCGATTTGGTGACTAGTCGAGCCACAATAGAGGGCGTCCATCACAGTCTAGTTATGGCTATGCAGAGTTGACGATCCGTGCTTGGAGGGTGGATATACGGCATGTTTATTGAGAATCTAATTTCTCGGCAGATTATCTGACCGCCTTAGCCGCACTAGTCCCGGAGGATTGCATCGATTAGAGTTCCCGCCAGCTGGTTTGAAGCCATGGCTAGAGCACGATATTATCAGGGTTGCATAGTATAGGATAGCTTCTTAAGCTTCCTCTTCTCTTTCTTTGTACCAAAAAAAAGAGAAAGAAAAGACGATACCGATTTTTGTCTGTGTGAGAAAGAAAGAAAAAACTCAAAAAGAAACATGAGATGAGAAAGAGAAAAACTATGAAAAATGAGAACAAAAAAACGTTAAAAAGAAGATATAAAACCAAGGTTGTCAAAAACCGGACCGGACCGGCAGGTTCGACCGAGAACCGGCCTTCATACCGGTCTGGTTGATTGACTTGAACCGCTAACGTACAAAACCGGGAGATAACCGCTTGAACGGGTCGAAAACCGGTTGAATAGGTAAATCGGAACCGCTTAGAACGGGTAAGCGGTTCGCATAAATTGCCTTGTGTTTATGAATCTGCGTGAAACTCGGGGCCAAATTCATTGTTGCAGAAGATCTGGCCCGAATCTGGCCGTTATGGAAGATCTCCTCAGCGGATACCGACGACGGCATCCCAGAGCCTCTCCCCGCGAAAGCTAACTCGAATTCGTTGCCGTCTTCTTCCGTGACGACACCGTTTCCGGTTTCTGCTCTCTCTAGAAAACTCCAAATTCAGAAAAGAATTCTTTGGGCACGCCCGCAATTTCGCCGAATCGAGTGTTGGTGTAGTTGCGGTTGAATGCTGAAGCTGGCCTGGGAACATAATTTGAGATTTTTTTTTTTCTCAACAATTTTTTCATTTGCGTTTACTTCAAANTTTTTTTATTTATTTTTTATTTTTTAATTCAATTATTGTTGAGATTGGATAAGGAATGGGACACTTGTCCCTTTCTGATTGGTCTTCCTTAATTTTAATGTGATAAGTTAGTATAACTCAAATTATTTATATTATTTTACATTAAAAAATAAATAAAAATTATCAAAATTCGTATTTTTTCATTCTCTATAAATAGAGACCACTCTTGATATGTTTTGGAACACAATTGAAATTTCTCTCTTTTTCCTTTTTTTTAAATCATACTTTATTAATTGTATCATCTCTTTTATTTTTCTTAATTTCACAACTAAAACAATACCAACAAATCTATTGTAGATAATATTTAATGAATAATAAATAAAAATTAAATAAATATTATGTTGGGTTGGATTAGGGATAAAGATATGTAGGTTGTTAAAAGTTGAGTTATGTAGGTGGAGGAAAGAGAAACATTTTTTTATTATTGAGTTGGGTTGGGTTGGGGTGTGGATAAATATAGTCTTATGAATCTCTGATAGTGGTAGGTGTCACGTGAAAATTAAAAGTATGTGACTTAGTTGTATACCACCATGCCTTTTCAACTTCTAATATATATATATTTACGTTTCATTTATTTTATATTAATGAATTGAATATATTTGAAGATTTTATATTGTATTTATTGGTTGAAATAGTACATAAGCTTCTATTTTGACTATTTATAAGGTTTTGTATATGTAATTTAATACTAAAAATTGTATAAAATATTAATATATTAAATACCAGTTCAACCGATTCAACCACTGGTCGGACCAGTGAACCATTGAACCAGTAGTTTGACCAGTCCGATTTTGACAACCTTGCATAAAACGCTAAAAGAATCACAGACAAAAACGCTAGCATAATTTTTTATTTAAGAAAAACCACGATAAACATATAAAAACTGGAGAAAAAATACAACCATAACAGCAACGTATTTTTCTAAAGCGTGGGTACGACTTAACAAAAAACAGCAATGAATATTTCTAAGGCATGGTCACGGGTTAGCAAAAAGACAATCAATAGAAACAACATGGAACCAAAAAAAAAAAGGGCCAACGGGATTGACACACACTTAAACTCATTACGAACACGCACCAAAATCAATAAGAATTATATGACCTCATGAAAATCAAAACCGTAAATATGAAATTTACAGTCATTATGCACGTCCATCTCATAATCACCGAACATCTCAAAACTCGCGAACTCCCTCCACAGAGAGCACCAATTACCCAAAGAATTAGAAAATAGTTCCATGTTCACACTTCGCACAAGAGAACAAGATCAGAGTTTTTACATTCACCAAGTATGCATGTCCTAATTATGCCTAAAAGGGATGCCTAAGAAAATAAAAAGAAAGGTAAACGTATAATCAAAATTAGCACAAAAGAAATAATGACACATTTAACACTTTTACATATATTGAATAATCGCACTTTATTTTTTTATTCATTTTTTTAACACAGAGGAATTATGACCATGGGGTAGCTTTCACACTAAACCAAAGGTAGCCTTCTTTCTAATTGATCATTCCTATTTTTCAACATAGTTTTAATTATGGAAAAAATTAGTCACAAGGATTAGTTGCACTCTTATGGAGTAGGTAGCTCTTTCCCTTCACAGTCTCCAACATGCAATTTTTTTTTTTTAAAGATACGACCAATAATCCATTTATTAAGTGAAAGAATACACCATTACAACTTCATGCCTCCAACAAATATAGAGTTTATGCAAAAGTAATGCAATTATGAATGAAAAGAAATAAAAAATGCATGTATGCAAAACTCGTGTTGCAACGATGATGCATCGTAGAAGTTGCAACACGACTCTTATTCTAATTCAAATAACAAAAAGAATTGAGAAATTTCCTTAAATTAGAAAACCTCTCATAATCTAATGTCTTGGTGAATATATCCACTAACTGATTCTCAGTCCTTATGTACTCAATGCGAATTATGTTTTTCTCAACTAAATCTCGAATAAAGTGATGTCTTATGTCTATATGTTTTGTGCGAGAATGTTGAACCAGATTTTTTGAGATATCAATCGCACTCTTGTTATCACAATATACGGTTCGGATATCACTATAGAGACCATAATCCTCAATCATTTGATCTATATATCCATAAAAGTTGACAACAAGAATAATTTAATTTCATACCATGCACAGACACCACATCATTAACAAACATGCTCTCAAAAAATTTATCATTAAATCTATTGTAAACACCACATAACTTTCTTACCATTAGATGAAACAATCTACCATTTGTTACCTCACCAACGGATTGCGACAAAGGATGAGATCTCTGAACTACTCTTCCCCGATCAGTAACATCTACATCAGATTGTATCTCAACCTCGGATGTGGTATTCTGGTCATTGGAAATACGTGTCGCCCAGGTGTTGTGTCTGGTGTCATGACATCTGGGACGACATCTAGAGCATCACTACGTAGCGGAAGGTCCAACATATCCCGAACATCATCCTCAGCATTTTTTACCCAATAACAATTTTGGGTAGTTTGTACACCTGTCAAAATACATGAGTTAGTCTCATCAAGCACTTCACAACAATTACGATCAAAATTAACATGGAGATTATCATCACAAAGTTGACTTATGCTAATCAAGTTAGCCTTAAGTCCATCAATCAACAACACATTCTGAAACTTTGGGAGGCCTTCAACGTTGAGTGTTCCACGTCTGATAATGTTTCCATGTTCACCTCCCCCGTATGTAACACGCCCACCTTCATAAGGTTCTAAATTGGACAAGAACTCACGAGTGCCGGTCATGTGCCGCGAACACCCGCTATCAAAGTACCATGATCCTGCAATATTAGACTTAAAAAATGTATGAATAACATTGCATTTCAACTCAGATTTTAGTACCCAAACAAATTTTTCTTTAGTTCTAGTTCCGTGATTTTTGGACACCTTACGGGACACGGGCGGTACAACGGGTCCAAAAGACCTATAAAATGAATTCAATTTTTAACAATAAGGTCTAATGTGCCTGGGTGCCTGACAATAATGGCCAACATATCGACGCCTTCGTTGTTTAGTATTCTTAAGAACCTTAGGCGTGGGTTTTGAAAAAGACTCACTTGTTTCCTCCGACGGACGCACAAATATAGTAGGCTTAAAGCCAAGTCCTGCATTATTATGATTATGTTCAATAGCACCCAGGACATCGAGTTGGCTCTTACCGGTGTTAAGTCATTGAAAGGTCTAACGGTAGTACTCAAGTTCCTCTCTTACTTAGCCATCTTTTGATCATGACTCCATATGCTCATCTCCAACTGGGTTATGGTAGACTTTAAAGCATCGTTCTCCTCTTCCAACTTTTTAGCCTCTGATCTTATCCTCTTATTCTCATTCTTTAACTTCTTGTTCTCATTCTCGAGCCTATTCACATCGAAGACAACATCTATCCAGCGTTTATAAAGTTCCTTGTACATTTTTTCAGAAATTACATTTTCATACCTACCAGGTGTCATGATACTTCGGGCGACACCTCGTCCGACGCCTGCTAGATCGATTTGTTTGGGCCTGAATTCGCTTGCCCAATGGTCACAAAGGCAGCATCCCCATCATTTTCAGCTTCACTTTCAGCCAAGCCGTCATCAAATTCTTCATCATTGCTCAAAGTGACGTTGAAATTCAAGCCTCTTTTGCGCAAGGTATTGGCACACTCATTTTCATAGTGCTCATACCCTTTGCAAGCATTGCATTGGACGGTCTCGAGCGACTTCGGGGTGAACTTTCTCCTATTTTTTAGTTTCGCCTTTTCACCGATTGGATTTGATCGGTTTGAATGAGATGGAGTAAATGGCCTCAACGCTCGGGACCTAGAGGCTTGGGAGTTATCTTGAGAATTTCTTCTCTTTACCAATGACGTGAAGCGTCTCGTCATGTGTGCAACTACTTCTTCATCAAACTCATTTTTCTCCATATCACGAATTAGATTCTCCAAGTCATCACCATCTTTAGTGACCAATTGAAGGGCGATCCCTTTTCCTTTCCCGACCGATACACTCTTTTCTCCAAGATCCTGTACCTCAAGATTCATCTCGAACGTCTTGAGAGTGCCAACAAGGTCATCGAATATAATGGTTGTCACATCCATCGAGACATCAAGCGTCGTGATCATTATGTTGAAGCGCTTTGGAAGAGATCTCATCACTTTCGCCATCACTTTTCATTCGAGATGGGTTCTGCAAGAGAGTAGCACTCATTCGCAATATTCATCAACTTGGCTGTGTACTCAGATATACTCTCATTTTCGAACATTCTTATTATCTCGAATTTTACCGCAGTAAGTCACAATCTCGTTTGACAAACACTCCTCAAACCCTCACAATGTCGTTGCAAGGTGTCCCATGCATCTTTGGTAGTAGTGCACGTGCTAATTAAACGAAACATGTTTTCACCGACCGCGCCAAAGATTGCATTAAGTGATTCATTTTTCTCGTGTTTCACCCCTTCAACTTCTACGGTAGGAGGCTCTCATTTGGAAAGTACGGATAACCAAGCACGTTTCTCAATGAATTTAATGTCGGACTTCATACGCATCTTCCAAATGGTGTAATTTGAGCCATCGAGAATTGGAGGCCGAAACAGCGAAGTTCCCGTGAACTCCATGTGTACCTATCAAGAAAGAATCACACTTATTAAATTAAGCGATCTGCTCCAATGTCACTTGTTAGAATTTTAGGTACCAAAAATTCGAGATTTTCACATGAAGATAAAAAATTAAAATACACACGAAAAATAAATAAAGACGACAGATTCAAAATTTAGCCTACAAGTAGAGAACACTTGTAGACTAAGGCCACATGCCAAAATTCCACTATAACAAAATAATCACAAAGTTTTTCATCCAATCCAAAAACATCTA